AAAATGCGGGTTTGCGGCATTTCACTACGATTTACTATGTTTTGCCGCACTTTTCAGTGTTAGAGTGTTTTTACAGCTAAAAAAACTCCTCTAGAAACCTGCTAGTCCTGGTTTTTTTTTTCCAGCCACAAAACGACGTTGATTACAGTCTGTGTGCATGGACACATAGGATAACATGCCGGGGACTTTACTAGCTTTAGAAAAAAACATCAAAAGCCAAAAACAGCAGCTGTAAAAACGTCCCGTGTGCATGAGGACTGAGGGTGATAAAAGCTTAAAAACGCTGATAAAAGCTTAAAAACGCTAAAAAATACGGCTATCCAGCATTTATGAGCAATTTTGAGCCTGAAGATTTTGTGGGTGTATAACTTTGCTAAAAAAAATGCAAACGCTGAAAAACACTAAGAAAGCTAATGCAAAAAAGCTAAAAAAGCAAAAAAACTCATGTTTTTATTGCACCATTCTACAGCCAACCCTACTGGCGTTTTTATAACGTCCAGTGTTCATGAGAGTTAGGGGACGATTCAACAGTCGGTTTTAACCGAGGCGAGCGAAAATATTGAAGGACGAGGATGGAAATGTTTTAATCATGCTAATCAGCATAAACTAATTTTTAAATTGTTTTTACCAATTTTTTGCCCATTTGCTGGTCAAAGTAAATCCAAAAAAAGAACAAAACAAAATTCTATAGGTGTTGGCCAGCATTATAGGGATTACCCCCACATTGGAAGGATATCTTGTTACTTCCTGTTTAGTTTATAGGACAAGAAATGATGACAAATCTCCCTAATCAGATACAGATGGCAAAAAAAAAAACTGACAGTGATTTGTACCCTCCCCTTATTATTTAAAATAATGTCTATAGACATACGTTAGGGGTTGTCATCAGGGGCGGACTGACCATTTGGAAACTCGGGCACTGCCTGAGGGCCCGGGGTCAGTAGGGGGCCCCATGAGATGCCCCTGGTACCTTTTTCATAGGCTTTTTTGAGTTTGGGCAAGGACACAGGGGCCCCATGATCCCCTATTGCCTGGGGGCCCCATGAGTTGTCAGTCTGCCCCTGGTTGTCATCCAATTGTTAGAAAATGCACATCCAGTTCTGGGGGTATTGAGACAATGGGAAAGGACCTGCTCATTAACCTTTGGCCTATCCATTATTAGTTTTATTGCCCATTAAAGAACACACCTTATGCTCTAGGTTAGGCTTTTGTTTAGACAGCAAAAACAAGAAGTGTTTTGTGCTCATTGATGTTGGTTTTGCTGCAATTGCTCCCTGTAAAGGTGTGAAATGGTGAATTAGGGTCTAGACTGGCCTGGACAATGGGCTGATGGTCTATTGAAGAAACCTGAACCTGGCTGTAATTGTTGAGTGTTTTCCATGATATATGATTTTCTTGCTGCAAAGGTCTAATTCCTCATCGCCTTTCACACAACCTTTAATTTAGTCCCTTCAGCCCTCTGTACCTGTACTGAAGATTTACAGTCAGGAGGAGAAACTGGGCACTCCACTGAGAAAGGTGCAACAGCCCGAGGCCAGCAAATTCCAGTGTGATCACACATATCACAAATGTACATTTATCTATGTTTAGTGACAGCGGAAGATTTACCGCACCTTTAGATGGTTTTTGACTTCGTGTTTTTACCCTTCTCCTTCCTAGTGATTAAGTGATGTACAGCATTGACTTTTCCTTGGGAAGATTTACCCCCCTTCATGACCAGGCCATATTTCGCGATACGGCGCTGCGTTACTTTTACTGACAACTGAGCGGTCATGCAACACTGTACATAAATGAAATTTGTGTAATTTTTTTCCCCACAAATATAGTTTTCTTTTGTTGGCATTTGATTACCTCTGCATTTTTATAAACAAAAAAAGGATGACAATTTAGAAATTTTTTTGATATCCAATAAAATTTTTTTTTAATTTCTTCATAAATCTAGGCCAAAATGTATTCTGCTACATGTCTTTTGGTGAAAAAAAAATCTTTGGTTAAAAAACAAATCTCAATAGGTACATATTAATTGGTTTCAGAGCAAGTTATTGCGGTGTATATATACTGGAATTTTTATTTATTTTTTTTTTACAATAGTAATTGATTTACTTTATATTAGTAATGGCAGCGAATATTTGGTGGGATTGCAGCGGGCATTCTGACACTGGGGGGGACTGACTAACTACCACTGACATCCTCAGTGACACTAATACACTGATCAGTGCTAATATAAATCACTGACACTGTACTAATGACACAGGGCAGGAAGGTGTTAACATGTGGGGCGATCAAAGGGTTAATCGTGTGCTCTTTTTACTGTGTTTTACTAGGGGACTGTGTTTTTACTAGGGGACATGCTGCTTTCTATCTTTCTGCTTTGCACAGAGATAGACAGCAGCACGTACCCGCTGACAGGAGAGAGATCTGTGTTGTTTACACTCAGATCTCTCCCCTGTCAGCTTCTGTGCCAATCACCGAGTCCCGGCCATTAATCACTTGCCCGGGACCCAATGATTGAGATCCTCAGGAGCCAATGACAGCAAGGGTAGAGTGGCGCGAGACCCTTAGGCTATGTTCACACTAGCGTTGTGTGCAGGCGACAGGGAGGCGTTTGGGAAGCGTTTTTACCGCTTCCCAAACGCCTCTGCCAATTCTGCCCATTACAGCACATGGTGCTGTTCTAACGGGAGCATTTGCGTCGCGTCGCATCGCGGCAAAACGGACGCCTCTGGTCGAGTCAGGAGGCGTTGAAGCCTCCTATTCTGCGGGGTGTTTGCGGGGCATTTGCGGGGCGTTTGCGGAGCGGTAACACCACTCAAACTGCATTATAGGCGTTTGTGGGAAGTTATTAACGCTCGGCAAACGCCTAGCAACCGACGCTAAACCGCGCATACGGCGTTTGCGGAGCGTTTGCCGGGCGTTAAAAAACGCTTGCCAAACACTATAGGGGCGTTTGGCAAATGTTGGTAAAACAGCCCAAGTGTGAACGAGCCCTTACCCGGAAATGCAAAATCACGTAATCACGCGGCCGCTCTGTAGCAGTACATCTGTTATGGGGCGGTCTTTAAATGGTTAAAGATAATCGCTCCTGAGTCAAGGTGCTGCCATTGCTGACCTCTTACATTGTAAATGCCAGTTGTCCGACTGTCATCTCCACCCTCAGCCTGGGTTCACACATGTGACGTGTGGTATATCCCATGTGATTCGCACAGGAACCGCACCGCATTCCTGTGCAAATCACATGCGAATTGTGTGTGGTGCGATTGGAGCCATACATTTTGTATGACTCAAATTGCACTGTATCTGCACCAAAAAGGTGCAGGACCCTTTTTTTGTTCTGCGCTAGAATTGGATTGCATAGGTATTCACACCCAATCGATCTGATTCTGCACGTCGCACCGTGTTTTGCGAACTGATTTCAAGGTGTTGTTAACTTAAAATACACACCTGCAGCGGTTTGCATGAACAGGGTGCGATTGTGCGGGATTTTCACAGAAAATGCTGCAAATTCCTAACTGCATCAGTGTGAACCCAGGCTCAGGCTTCAGAACTTTGAGTCATAATCCAGAAACAAATATCCAGATAAAAACTTTTCTCTTAAAGTGATATAAAGGGCAATTTTTTTTAATAACAAACTTGTCATAGTTACCTGCTGTTTTGCATACAGCAGCCCTGATCCCCCTCTTCTAGGGTCTCCTGCCTGCACTCCTGGCTCCTCTCTCCTGCCAAATGCTCCCAGAGCAAGCAGCTATGGGGGCACCCAAGCAAGCTCGCTCCCAAGCCACTGCCCTGCATGTCCATTCACACACGGAACCGTGGCTTGGCCCCGCCCCCTCTCATTAGCTCACTGACTGTGATTGGCAGCGGCTCCCGCTGCTGTCTCAGCCAATGAGAAGAGAGAGTTCCCGGAGAGCCGAGGCTGTTGTGCACATTGCTGGATTGCGATGGGGCTCAGGTAAGTATTAATGGGGATTGAGGAGAAGCTTCACACAAGCTTTTTTACCCCCATGCATAGATTGAAGATAAAAATCATTGAGCCTTTACAACTACTTTAAGCTTAATACACACTATCAGAAAATCATTTGTATTTTCCATGTCCTTGTCCCATGTTCAAAATGAGAATGCCTGAACAAAAATTCTTGAACAACTTCCCACGTATGTAGCTGCGGTCTGTTTAGTCTATGCTAGCATGATTCCAATCATCAGACTTCCCCATTCAATTTTTGTAGGGTGAATACTGTGCTAATTAAACGAAAAATTGGACATCATGATAACAAGGCAAATTTTCTAACATGTCTCTTTGGAAATCTTCATCTGAACAGCCCATATCAGCTCTCAAATGCAGTGTTCCAGCGAACAGAACATCGAACGATTGTTCCAAATATAGATATTTTTGTCTGATTTTGTGGTGCAGGTCAGTGGCTCAAAGGACTGAAGCTAGAGGATCAACATACCAGCCAGGACATTGGCATTTTAAGAAGGGGGTCAGCAAAGGCTGAATTAATTTTTCATTCAGGAAAGATTTATTTTTAACCTTGAAATGCCATCACACAAATTCCACATATCCAAAACTAATACTGACACTGCTTGCCAATTTATTACCAGTTGGACATCTTATAATTAAAGAGGGGTTCCAGGGATGGATATTTTATACATAGTTGCATTGTTGTAGCATGGACCACTGTAACTATGTACTGTATAGACCAGTGATGGCGAACCTTTTTGAGCCCGAGTGCCCAAACTGCAACCCAAAACCAACTTATTTCTTTCAAAGTGCCAACACTGCAATGAAACCTGAATATCGAGCTTTTGGTTTAGAAAAAAACAACTCGTACAGTAGTGCAAACTAATTAACAGTACAGGGATGACCAGAGACTGCGGACACAGTACAGGGATGACCAGAGACTGCGGACACAGTACAGGGATGACCAGAGACTGCGGACAGTACAGGGATGACCAGAGACTGCGGACAGTACAGGGATGACCAGAGACTGCGGACACAGTACAGGGATGACCAGAGACTGCGGACACAGTACAGAAGATGACCAGAGACTGCGGACACAGTACAGGAGATGACCAGAGACTGCGGACACAGTACAGGGATGACCAGAGACTGCGGACACAGTACAGGGATGACCAGAGACTGCGGACACAGTACAGGGATGACCAGAGACTGCGGACACAGTACAGGGATGACCAGAGACTGCGGGGACAGTACAGGGATGACCAGAGACTGCGGGGACAGTACAGGGATGACCAGAGACTGCGGACAGTACAGGGATGACCAGAGACTGCGGACAGTACAGGGATGACCAGAGACTGCGGACACAGTACAGGGATGACCAGAGACTGCGGACACAGTACAGGGATGCCCAGAGACTGCGGACACAGTACAGGGATGACCAGAGACTGCGGACACAGTACAGGGATGACCAGAGACTGCGGACAGTACAGGGATGACCAGAGACTGCGGACAGTACAGGGATGACCAGAGACTGCGGACAGTACAGGAGATGACCAGAGACTGCGGACAGTACAGGGGATGACCAGAGACTGCGGACAGCACAGGGATGACCAGAGACTGCGGACAGCACAAGGATGACCAGAGACTGCGGACAGCACAGGGATGACCAGAGACTGCGGACAGTACAGAGATGACTGCTGACCTTTGGGGAGGGAGGGGGAGCGGGTACCTGAATTTGACAGGTACCCGCTCTTACTTCCGCAGAGTTTTTTTTTTTATCTTACCTGTTCCTTTATCCAGCCGCGCGCTGTCTTCCTGTCTTCTGTAGTGTGGGCGCTCGTCGGACAGCCGGATGCCCAGTGCGCATGCGCGAGAAGCGCTGCGCTTTGTGATTGGTCCGGCGGCTTCTGGGATCTGTCATGTGTCCCAGGTACCGCCTTACCATTCACAAAGAGCACTGCTTCTTGTGCATGCGCACTTGGCACCCGGCTGTCACGCACACTACAGCCGGGAAGACAGCGCGCCGCTGGATTCTTCTGGCGTGCCCACAGATAAGGCTCGGCGTGCCGGCTGTGGCACGCGTGCCACGGGTTCGCCATCACTGGTATAGACCATACCTGGCCAATGCCGCTGGAAATCACTGAAGGAGACACCGCTATACCAGTGATCTCCACTTGCTTCCAGTTCCAATGCTGAGTGGTCTGCTGCATTGTGAACACAGGGGGTCGGCCACTCAGCACGGCCACTCTTCACATTTTCTGAGTGAATGCAAAGCATTCTCTGATTGGACAAGGTAGAGAAGAGGGGTGGTGACATCATGCTCTCCTTCTTGTCCAATCAGAGAATGCTTTGCATTCATTCAGAGAATGCAAAGTATTCTCTGAATGGTGCTTGTGCCAACCATCCAACCTCCTGTATTCACAATACAGCAGCCAGTGGAGATCATTGGATAGGGTTGCCACCTGTCCTGGATTCACCGGAACAGTTCGGGTTTTGAATCATGTGCCCGGGTTTTAAAACCATCTGAAACCCAGACAGCCCCGACTGTGGCTCCTCAGCTGGGTTGATGGCTGCAGTTTTAAACCGAGAGTATCTGTTTCACTCTCTCACACACTGCCCAGAACCAGCGCAGGTCAGTGTAAGGGGGAACTCTGCAGACTCTGATGTAAGGGGGGGTTCTGAGAACCCTGATTAAAGGGGAATGCTGTGAACTATGATGTAGGTGGGGGCTCCAGATTTCAGAGACCCCCTTACATCAGAGTTCTTCTTTTACACCAGAGTCTGCAGTGTTCCCCCTTACATCAGAGTCCCCTCCTTAAATCAGAGTCCCAAAGTACTCCCTTACATCTGAGTCTGCAGAGTCCCCTCTTACATTGTAAGGGAACTCTGCCGATTTAGATGTACAGGGAAACTCTGCAGATTCAGATGAAAGGGAGAACTTTGCAGATTCAGATGTAAAGGAGAAGTCTTCAGATTCAGATATAAAGGGGAGCTCTGATGTATTAGGGGGACTCTTGTGAATAACTCCATATGATTATAAATGTTGTTTAGTCACAAAATATTTGTATAGTGTATACTACAAAAAAAAATTGGTCAGCAGTGCTTAAGTGTTCAGGTTTGGCTTGAAGAAAAAGTGTCAACCGTGTCATTGGAGCAACAGGGTTTTTCTTCAGTGATTTCCTGCTTTCAGGGGCATCATCCAGGTGTGGTATATACATAGTTATGTTGGTCCAAGCTGGAACATGTAACTATGTATAAAACGTCCATACCTGGAATTGTTCTTTAACCACTTGCTGACCGCAGATAGCCGAATGACAGCTACACTGCGGACGGCCAGTTCTGGGAGGGCGTCATATGACGTCCTCCCAGAACGTGCTCTCCTGCGCGCCCCCCCTGGGCGCGCGCACCCGGCGATCTCCATGATCACTGTGTCCTATGGACACAGCTGATCACGTGATGTGGTAAAAGGCCAATCACAGCGGCCTTTTAGCACGTGATCAGCCGTGTCCAATGACACACTGATCACGGGGAAATGAAATTGCCGGTTCTCAGCTGCTGCTCTTTCCTCATGCTGTCAGAGCGTGAGGAAAGTACTGCCGAGAACCGGCAGTTGTCAGAGCAGGGATCGGCACCGATCATCAGGGCACTGATGATCAGTGCCCTGATGATCGGTGCCCAGCAGTGCCACCCACCAGTTCTGCCCACCTGTGCCCAGCAGTGCGCCCACCTGTGCCCAGCAGTGCCCACACACCTGTGCCACCAGCATTGTCACACACCTGTGCCCAGCAGTGCCACCTACCTGTGCCCAGCAGTGCCACCCACCTGTACCCACCAGTGCCACCCACCTGTGCCCACCAGTGCCCATCAGTGCAGCCCGTCAGTGCCACCACTCAGTGCCCAGCAGTTGCGCCAGTCAATGCCTAGCAGTGCCGCCAGTCAGTGCCCAGCACTGATGCCAGTTAGTGCTGCCTATCAGTGCTGCCTATCAGTGCCGCCTCATTAGTGCTGCCTATCAGTGCCGCCTATCAGTGCCCATCAGTGCCGCCTATTAGTGCCCATCAGTGCTGCCTCATCAACGCACATCAGTGAAGGAGAAAATTTACCTGTTTGAAGAATTTTATAATAGAAACAAAGAAACTTTTTTTTTTTTTTAATTTTTTGCAATTTTTTGTTTATAGCGCAAAAAGTAAAGTGCCCAGCAGTGATTAAATACCACCAAAAGAAAGCTCTATTTGTGAGAAAAAAATTATACAAATTTCATATGGGTACAGTGTTGCATGACCGCGCAATTGTCAATCAAAATGTGACAGCGCTGAAAGCTGAAAATTGGCCTGGTAAAGAAGGGGGTATAAGTGCCCGGTAGGTAAGTGGGTAAGAGTACTTTCACACTGCTCCGTTGAAATAAAAACACGTTAAAAATGCATATGTGTTTTGTATGTGTTTTTAGGTTTTTCCTGTGCATTTACTGGTTGGCATGCACCTGTGAAACATGGACATGTGACTCAAAAAACCTGCCAAAAATGCAACCGGGGTACATTTTTGATGCATTTTCCCATCCATTTCAATAAGGGGCTGTATTTTTGGTGCGGTTTTGAAGCATGTAGGACTTTTTAAAATTCAGCGCAGTGGAGTGAAGAGTCCCATAGGATTTAAAGGGAAATATTTGTATTGTTTGTTTTAACAAAGTAAAAACACAGCAAATACACCTCAGTGTGAAAGGGCCCTAACAAACTAAAAGGGAGAAAATAGGAGAAGTTGGTAGTGAGTGCATACTTACCCTTTAACACCTAAACATAAGTCAAATAACCACATTGGATGGACTGTCCCTTTAAACACCCAGAGAAGGATGAAGATATGAGTAGCGCTCACCCTTGGTTGGTATATAAGGAGCTGGGATAAGTGAACTACACAAATAACAGACACTTGTTTATAAGTTGGTTGTAATCTTGAATCTTAAATCATGAATAGGCCGCCAATGCTCTGACATTACTCATCTGTCATCAGTATAAGCTCATCTCACCGAGGCCACAGGGAGTTTATACGGAGAGATCAGAGGAACAGCCCAGCTCATAAAACAGCCACAGAGGGTATTAGCGATCATCTTAGCTGAACAAACATGTTTGTGAAATCTCTGGTCTAAGGGATTCCTTGCGGAGTTATGATTTTTTTTTTTTAAAGGCACGTTCATTTTAAAGCTGAACTTTTGGCCAAAATCACCCTAAATACATATCATTTCACAAATTAATTGTTACTATAAGATGAGCTCAATACAGGTAAATGATCAGTTTTACTTGGGTTAGTAATAGGATTCGGCCTCGTTCACGCTAGCCAGTACTCTGAAACATTTCACTTATGGGCTTGTTGTATGCCGGCGGTGGGACGGTGCCTTGAGTTTATACAAGGTACTGTGAACTTTGGAAAATAAAGAATGGCAGTGAGCACACAGGGAGGAATATGCAGGAACAGCCGCTAGCACAAAAGGACAAGCCACTATATCCTCAGGAACAACTAATAAGAAAAAATAATAAAATGACATACGACAGTTAAATGATTCTCAACGCTCTATCGTTCTTATAAAAATATGAATAAATGGTGACTTGAGTGAACAAGCAAAAAAATTATATATATGATAATGGTGAAGCGCTCTATTCTGGCGCTATGGTGACAAGTATTATTATTATGCAGGATTTATATAGCGCCAACAGTTTGCACAGCGCTTTACAATATGGTGGGAGACAATACAGTAACAATACAAGAGGGATTCGAATCACATACATAAAATATCAAAATAATATTCTACAAAATATATAAAATATTAATGCGGTGCTTAAACTCTAACAAATAGTTTTCAGAATATATAAACGCATGAAAAGTCCAAATAATTCAGTCCTTTTTTGTGATCACCACGTGAAGTTAATTCATCATATTCATATTCCAATAACCACCACGTGAATATTAGTGAAACAATCTGCAGTTGTGCCCTCTCAGGTATGCACTCACCAAACATATTTGCCTTCCATTCTCATGGTTGGCGTTTTTGAGCTTTTTGATATATATATTATTCTCCAAGGAATAGACCCCTTTCAAGACACAGAATGGATTCCTCCAATGATGGCTCAGACTCTCCAAGATAGTAATGACTCTTTCCGATACTCCCAACAAACATCACATAGAGAAAAAAAAATAGAGACCCGACATGGTGCAGTATCACTTAAAACCTTTTATTCTCTGCCCGAGAATACTACTTACAAGAAGTAAGAAAAAATAAAGCCCAAAGATGCAAGTGTTTTGGTTAATCAGAGAGGGAAGACCGCACAATGCTTTCACCTCTGCCGGTCCTCGCTCTCGGACAATCCCGCGTCACTTCCGGTTCCGATAATTGTCACTTCCGGACGCCGCTCAACCAATCACTGATGCGTTTTGTCACTTCCGGACTTAATCATAGGGAGTGGTTATGGGGCATCACACATATATAGTGTGTTCAGTTGATTGAATGGGGATAATCATTGGTCGGAATCAACGATCCCTCCTGCTTACTACTAACACCCACATACTGGCCGAAATGTAACTCTCGTGGCATCTTGTGAGTGGGCAAATACTACCAAAATATATATATGTGACATAGAATGAAATTTCATCCAGATAATGAATTATCAAAGTTATACAGTTTAACATTGTTGGGCTTATATGACAATAGTTAAAACAAATATTTATTACATAACCAAAAATACCGTGAATATCAATAATTATAATAATGAATTATACAATACATATTAATTAAAAAAATGATAATATAATAATCAAGTAATATTAATTAGTATATAAAATATAACCAATTAAATTAAATCAATAATTGGAAAAGAATATATATAAATAATACAAAATTAAATGATGTAAAAATTAAATTTAAAATATTTAGAAACAATTATACACAATACTAAATGACCCCTCCATATACGAATCCAATACTATTATTTTATGTGTAGTTCCATGTATAAATTAAATTATATCATATAGTATCGTGAATTATGCATCACTTATAAAGCAGTTTATATCTAGTTCAACATTTAAATTCCCTGGTGTTAGTGATTTAAGGAGAAAAATCCATTTCGTCTCTCTTTGTGACAAGTCCCTAACTCAACTAAATGTTGCTTCTAAAAATTGTTTATTCACAAGCAAAATGACTCAAAAGACTGGTTCTCACAGCATCTCCAAGGCAAAAAAAAAAAACCAATATGGAAGACCTTTGGAATACAATATTATTATTATTATTATTATTATACAATATTTATAAAGCGCCAATGGTTAGCTCAACTCTGTACATTACAAAGGGGGACAGAACATGTGACAGAACAATACCAATACAATGCAAAACATGAGGGCATCGAGCTTACAATCTAGGAGATATTGCACAAAGCATCTATGCTGACAAATTTCAAGAAATATACCCTCTTCATCTTTCTAAATTTTGCAAGTATATATATTTTACTTTTTGATTATTAAATGGTGTTTGAGGTAATGCACTAGGTTGGTGCCCCCTTCTTGCTGTTTTTTCATCTGGAATTTTTTTGCAGTTATATAAGGTTACAGACTGAGTATTCATGATGCTCATAGAGGACATTCAACTGAAAAAGGGTTTCATAACTTCCTAAACAAAAAGGTTTTGTTTTTGTAGAATTACTTGCTGATGTATCTTAAAGTTAAGTTTACCCATCTAAGAAACAATTCATTGATTCAGTTACCACTTTTGTAAACTGACCTCCTAAATTTTTTCCCCTTTTTAATGTAACCTAATTGTCATTACTGTCACAGTGGTCTCTATTTAAGAGGAAGTAGCAGAGAGCATCAGGGGAAGATAAAAACTCCCAGCGCTATCGTCTTAACAAGGCGCAATTAAAGACCGAGGTTTGGGATGAACAAGGTCCGTGATGACTGACGTTTCAGATAAAGGAAGATGAAAACAGAAGGAAGATTCACAATAAGAGTATAGATGGCTGTGAAATTCTATATAGGTAGGTAACAGAGCCATGTATAGATAACAGAACATCGCCTATTTACATTTTTGTGTATCATTTAGGATGTCAGATGAAAGTGTAATGAGGTATATGACAACCGATGATGTTTTTTTCTTCTTTTTTCTATACTGTAAATTATTTAAATATATATTCACACAATATTTAGCCAAATCATTTTGTCAAAAAGTATGAGAAAAAAAAACTTTTATTATAATAAGTTCAAGTATTTCCAGTGAAGGGTATTGTTGCTGTAGAATTTATTTGTAACTGTGGTGGGGATGGCTGGCAACCATCATGATGTCCAAGTAGGCCCAGCATACTTGCACATTATGACACATTTACCTATGAGTGTGCTTTCCTCCAGTGATATGAGGCCTAAGCCCCCCACATCCACTGAGTTCCTGCCTGTGTCAGGTCCTTCTCCTCTTCTTCTGAGCTCATTGTAAGAGAAGTTCATTATGTATTGGAAACAGAAGACTGTCACATGCATGTGCATGCATGCTCATAATTCTGAGCAAAGGCTCAAAGCAAAATGGGCATTAGCACACGCGCAAAAATATATTAGCGTGGGCTCAAAATATATACGCATGTGCACACGGATGGATTGCTGAGTGGTCTTCAGCTCCTTCCTGCTTATCCTGAGCCTTGACCTGCTATACCTGCCTACCTATGTATGACTTGGCTTGCTCCTAACCTGTCTCTGGATTTCCGCCTGCCTGCTGTGACCTCAGCTTGTATCCTGACTCTGCTCCTGTCTTGCACTCCTGCACCTCACTGCCCAGCTGTTTACTGATCTTGGCTTGTATCCTGATTCTGTCCTCTGCCTGATGATTCTGCTGCACCTCACTGCCTGGCTATTGATGACTTTTTGGCTTGTGTCCTGGCTACGCTCCTCTCTGCCAATTAAGTGTCACCATGTTCCAATTCCTGGTTCCTGTCTGGTGATCTTCCGTTTTCTTCCTGCTAATTCCAGTTGGCGATGCCTGTTACACCGACAATCGTGCCACTCTGTGTCTTCCCACCTCCTGTCATCCCAGGGGTGTTGGACAAGGGGTGCAAGCTCCATCTCCAGCTTGATCGCTACCAGGTACGTGAC